TTTTTGATATCTTTCACAGAAAATGAGATATATAGGCTCAAAGTGGACGATCCGGGTGTCGTTCTATTAGAGGTTTTACGGTATATTCGGAAATTTTCAACAAAAAAAAGCGCCCTCACCTCTGGCAATGGTCCAAAACTCCAAACGGCAAACAACAAGAGTGTCGAAGTGAGAAAAACCAAAAGTAAACCGAAAATTCGCAACATTTTTTGTGTTGAAAATCGAAAAAAAAATGTGGTCAAAAAAGTGGTCTTTTCCTTTGAGGGAAGGAGGAGGAACAGATAAGAATATTGACACTTTATTTGGGGTATTAGTGACACGTGGCATTTAGGCCATTGTGGTGGGTATTTAGGACAATGGACAATGGGAAATTCTGGAATTTGAAAAAAAAAAAGTAGATTGGGTCAAAAAAAGGATTTTCACGGGTCATTAGAGTAGTTAGGTAACTGAAAAGATGTCGAATGATTATAATTTTTCGAATTTAAAGGGGGGGACATGAAAAAAAATAATGTTCTCGAAATTCCGTTCAAAGATGCCCCTCGAGGAGTTGAACTTGTGAGGGCGATGATTGAGGGTGCGGCGCCGCTACCGACTGAGCCACGCGGGCAAAGAGAAAGCGGTCGCCCGATTGCATACATAAAGGCGAGGACGACAGCTGTACGCAGAGTGACATTAAGCGTTGTACACCGTCACGGTAGAATGCATACTCTGGCCCCAAAAATCCCCCGTAAAATCTCCTGTTCCCCCACCTTTAAAAACAACAGAGACTGAAACTTTTTGTTTCATAGAAGGAAAATTTGAAATTAACTTCTTCAGAAAAATTACACTTTCCTCGGAATATTCGGAATAGTTTTTTTTTTTAGAATTTTCAGACATTATTTTGGATTTTTCAGATTTTTCCTTTGCAAATTCGAAAACTTCTGAACTTTTTTCAGATGTTATTTTAAAGTTCGAGTTTGAAAAATTTCAAATTTAACCAAATTTTTTTCAATTTTCAGAAATTTCCGATTTTTTTTGTTTTTCGAAAAAACCTGGAAATTCACTTTTCACAAAATTCCTAAAATTCAGAAAGCCCCTGTTTTCAAGAATAGCCTTCAAAGATTTTTTTTAGCATTTTAGAATTTTTAGGTTTTCGAATTTTTGAATTTTTGAATTTTTGAGTTTCAGTATGTTAGAATTACAGAATTTTAGAATTTCAGAATTTCAGAATTTCGGAATCTCTGAATCTCTGAATCGCAGAATCTCAGGAATTCAGATTTTTCAATTTTTAAATAAGAAATTGGAATTTCTGAAAAAAAAATAATTGAGGGAATCCCAGTTAAATAGTTATTTAAAAAAATAAAAATGATTATTTTAAAAAAATCTACTCCCATGAAAAACTAAAAAAAATTTTTTTGAAATTTTTTTTCAAAACACAAAAACAAACACAAACTGGGTAGAGAATCTTGGAAACTTGTTTCTTTGAAAAACATGACATCAAGATTCGTCCCAAAAAAATACAAAAAAAAGAGAAAATCAATAATTTCTGTTTTCGTATGAAAACAAAAATTGAAAAAGTGTGTAATGACATACACAAAAGAAAAAGAGAGAAATAGAGAATAATAATAGATGGAGGACAATAGATAAGCGAGAATTTGCATATACAATAGAGGGAAAAATATATATTAAAATGTGTAGTATAGTAGTGAAATTGGCTTAAAAAACTTGACGGAAATTTCGAATTTTGGGCAAAAATTGAAAAAAAATTTTTTTCGAAAATTCCCAAAATGTGTCTTGGGGTTAAATATGTGGTTTGAAACTGAAAATATAATCGTTTTCAGTCAAACATTGAGCGTTTCAGCCCGAAATTAGTCGGAGCGCTCGCCGTCGTCCTCGTCGCTCGACGATGTCAAGTCGTGTGGGGCTTTGCGCACGAAGTGCGCATAGACCAGAGTTTCCGTCTGCAAATGATTTCACAGTTTTTCTTTGGATTACTGTACTTTTTTGAAAATTTGGAGAATGATCAGTGGATTAGGAATTAGAAGAAAATTTGAAAATATTCCGAATTTTTTGGATTTTTCAGAATTTCGGGATTTTTTGGAATTTCGAGATTTTTGGATTTTTAGGATTTTTTAATTTTAGGCTTTTTTTTTGGATTCTTCGAATTTCATTATTTTGAAATTTTGAGCATTTTGAAATTCAGAAATTCAGAATTTCAGAATTTCAGAATTTCAGAATTTCAGAAATTCAGAAATTCAGAAATTTTTGTTGGTTCTGAAAATGTGATATTTCAGGAAAATTTCAAAAAGCGGAAATCGAAAAATTGCGAAAATAGGAGAGGGCCCAGAAAGTTGAGAATTTCGGGGTTTTCAAAAATTATGAAATTCCAATTTATCGGAAAAAATGGAATTTCGGATTTCTTGTCATTTTGGGAATTTTCAGAAATTCAGAAATTCAGAAATTCAGAAATTCAGAAATTCAGAGATTCAGAAATTCAGAAATTCAGAAATTCAGAAATTCAGTAGTTCAGAAATTCAGAAATTCAGAAATTCAGAAATTCAGAAATTCAGAAATTCAGAAATTCAGAAATTCAGAAATTCAGAAATTCAGAAATTCAGAAATTCAGAAATTCAGAAATTCAGAAATTCAGAAATTCAGAAATTCAAAAATTCAGAAATTCAGAAATTCGGAACCTTAGAATTTCCATATCCCAGAAATTCAGAAATTCAGAAATCCTCACCTCAAGTCTCACAAACTGCACATTGGTGCGTCTGTATCCAGGCAACTCGCGGTCCCAGAGTTGCTGTTGAGCGTCTTTTCCCTTCACGGAGATGTCGTTGGCGAAAACGGTCATCAGAATCTTGTTTGGTCTGGACAAATCGATATTTTTCGGTCAGTACACTTAGAGCCCAACTACCTCGGTCCCAATCAGCGATATCAAAATTTTGTTAACTGATAAATATTACTGATAATGTGATAAACATTTTTGTAGTTTTCAAATTGTTGATGTCTTTCAAAGGAACCGAGATAATTAAGCTCTAATTGAAAACTGCCGGATAAGTTACGCGGCGGCAGCCGATGCACTTTAAGCTCAATTATCTCGGCTCGCATAAGAGATATATAAAATTTGGCTCTTTATGACAAGGGGGGCCCATGGAAAAGGGGGGGGGGGGCAAGACAGAAGGGGCCCATGGGTAAAAATTATGTCCAAGTTAAAATTTTTCGATTTTTTCCAGCTTTGCCACTGCTTTTTATGAAAATTTCGTACTTTGCGCTTGTTTCCATAAAAATGCATAACTTCAAAAAAAGTTCAATTTCGATCGTTTTTTCCATGAACAGCACTGTTTTTGCTGCTGTAACTGTGTAATTTCATTTTATTAAGTTAATATTTGATTAATTTAAGCTTAGGGACAAAAGAATTATACAAAAATTTATTAAAAAATGACATTGACTGAACATTTGAAAAAATGATGAAAAATGTTCAAAGCACAGAATTTTAGTGGAAACAACCACAAAACTTGAAAAAAGCTGAGAATCTTAACTTGGGTATAATTTTTTATTTTGGGCCCCCACCCCTTTTCTCATGGCCCCCCCCCCTTGTCATAAAGAGTCAAAAATTTTGACAGATAAAACGTTACTGATAATGTGATAAACACTTTGTAGTTCACAGATTTTTTTATATCTTCAATAGAAACAGAGATAATTGAGCTCAAAGTAGAAGTGTATCCTCACCTGAAACACTGCAAGACCTTTCTAGTCTGAGAATACAGACAAACCAAGTCTTGATTAGTTTCAAACGACGCAAAACTGAATTCCTTTTCCGGCGTCACATGGATCGTGGCGTATTGATCCGTATCGTTTATGTAGGCGTTCATACTGTAGCCGCATGGATCGAACAGCTCGTCGTGCACGTCTGCACCTGCTGGGATGATCTTGTCAATGCCGGCGCGCTGAAAATGTTAAAATACACAGAAAGTCAGTGAGAAAAATGCATTTTTTTTTAAATTCTGAAAAAACCCCAAAAACTACCAAACCAGGGAAAAAATCAATTTTCTAGCTTGTCTAGAAGCCGAGATACTGTCATTTGAAGTTTAAGCGATTAGAAAGTATAAGGAAAGGGGAGAGCGCCGACAACGATACACTCTTACTGTCTGCGTCTCTCAAAAATTCTAATGGCTGTATCTCAGCTCTCAGATGAGCTAGAGATATGATTTCTGAATTTAAATTGTGTAAAAATTTAAGGAAATCAGAAAATGCAAGTTTTATGAAAATTTTAGAAAATATCGAACTTAAAAACTGAATTTTAAAAATTTAGAATCACAAAAAAAAATCCAGCAAATCAAAATTATATCAAAAACAGAACAATTTGTTTAAAAAACCAACTTTCTAGCTTATCTAGGAGCCAATATATAGCCATTTGAAGATTAGGGGACTAGAGAGCGTGTAGAAGGGAGAGAGCGCAGACGACGAGTCTCTCTAACTGTCTGCGTCTCTCGAAATTTCAAATGACCGTATCTCGGCTCCTAGATGAGCTAGAAAGGTGAAAATTGAACAGATGTGCGTCATTTTATGCAAATTCTTGAATTTTGGAAAAAATATGCTAAAATTTTGTAAATTTTGAAAAAATTGAGGTTTCGAAATTTTTCCAAAAACCTAAGAATTCGGTAAAATCTATACAAAACAGTAAAAATTTCAGGTTTCTAGTTCATCTGGGACCCGAGATACAGCCATTTGAAGTTCCAGTAGAGACACAGACAGTTAGAGCGTCTGGTTTTCTGCGCGCTCTATTTTCAATACACTCTCTTGTGGCGTCAACTTCAAATGAATGTATCTCGGGTCCCAGACAAGCTAGATAGCTGATTTTTTTACAAATGTATGTGAAATGTTATGAGAATTATTTTTGTAGTTAACTAAGTTTTGATAGCTCTTTTAGATTTTAAGATATATGAATTTTAAATAGACCAACTTTTGATATCTTTCACAGATAACGTTTCGAACTCACCATGAAGCAATCCTTTCCATCCACAGCGAAATCTTTGGTGAACTTATGAAGGACCTCCTCATCCAAATCGCTCATCAAGATTTCCAAAGTATGGTCCGGCTGCTTGTTAGCCGGGAACTCCACCTCCCGATGGAATGTATACAGGTACCATCTGTCCTGCTTCAACGATCCCAAGCAGTATGCATGTCCATCCTCGAAGAAGCTATCGAGATACTCAACTTCAGCGTCAAAATTCTTATGAAGGTTTGGTTGTAAATCCGGACGCAAGAAGTTCTTCCTCGAGTAGTACACCGATTGCACTTGATCCAACCCAGCGTAGGTTCCCGCCAGCTGCATGAGGACCGGGAGAGCAGCCAGAAGCCGAGTGGTTCCGCACGTCTTCAGAATCACTCGATTGTCTGAGACAAAGAGTGAGGATTCTGAGAGGACATAGGAGTCGATGGATTCATTGTGTTTAGAGTGTAAAATCTTGCATCTTGCGACATCGAGCATATTGTCGATTTCAGATCTTGGAATTGATCTTAAGGATGTGTCAGTGATCCCTTTGGTGGAGCAGAACCAGAGTTCCAGAAGCTTCTCGGCTCCTTCGAAGAAGTATTCCTCATCAGGAGCCTTGACAGGATGGGTTTGAACGGCGAAGTTCTTCTCGGAGCAGATGGTAGCAGTAGCAGACATGATTGTGAGAATTGAGACGGAAAATGAAGATTTTTTTTGGTTTTTCAAATGGCGGACCCGCTAGGGAGGACGACGGTAGAGGACGAGAATTCGGGTCTTACGGTCTGGACCCATACACCGGAGATATGGTATCAGCGGAAAGCGGAGGAGCGCTTGTCGGCAAATACCAGAGAGGATGTGGAGGTGGCGATGGGGTTGTCTCTGGAATAGATTTGATTGTTTAGAACTCCGTAGCTTAGCTTTCGCTTTACTAAGTTTGCTTAAAAGTACATGGTCAGAATCAGCAAGTTAAGAGTTTCAAAATGAGTATAAACAAGCCTATATTTGAAAAAATTTGAAAATTCAAACGTTTTTCCTTTAAAGGCGCAAAGAACAAAAAATCATGTCTAGTAATTTTACCGTATCTCTCTTAATTTTATTCCAAATTGAATGAAATTTATATTATGGGAATCTGTACGTCCAGAGCTTTGAAATGAATATAAACAAGCCAAGACTTAAACAAAAATTTGATAATTCGGAAGTTTTTCCTTTAAAGGCGCGTGGAAAATTTCGAAATTCTCAAAAATTAAAGTTCTCAAAAGTAGGCCGAGATTATACCCATTTTGAAGCTCTTGACTTGCTGATTCCGACCAGATACGTTTCATTCAGTTTGAATCACAAAGAAGAGATATACGGTAGAATAACTTGACCAAAACATTTTTTGAGAGTTTCGAAAATTTCGAAAATTTTCAAAATTTTAACAATTAAAAAGTTTAAATATTTAAACTCATTTTGAAGCTCTTCTTAAGCTGAATCCAATAATATATATTCTAAAAATCTCAAACCAAAGTTCAAAGAGTTACCGTACCTGGCGACAGAAATGTCCGAAGGTGGACGCGGTGGTGGCGACTCGTCGGGAGAAGAACGGGATGCGCTCACTGGTCGGATTTTGGCTGGGGTTAGGTGACTCTGGAAATAAGGCTTTTAGGCTCGTTTATAGGCCTTTTTCAGGCTTTCATAGGCATTTTTCTGGCTCACCTGAGTTAGCTGCGGCGCTTCTAGGCTACCACAGCACCCACAAGTCTGAAAATGGGGAGCAAAAAAGTGCTCGGGGTGGAGAAAAATGGGAACCAAAGTTTGGAAAACAGGGAACAAGAACTTTCCTGAAAAGAAAACGGGTTTTATGGGAGAAAATGAGCAAAAATGAGCCAAAACAGAGGGAAAATCTAGAAGTTTCCGTTAAGTGGAGCAGGAGAAATGAGCCGGAAAATGATTTTTCCAAGACATTTGCACATAGAATGATTGGGGTCTAAAGGTGGACTGGGGGACGCGGCTAGTGATAAGAGCAGCTATCACTGATAAGATTGCACAATAAAAAGGGGCGGAGCCTAGGATGACTTGGCGTTTGAATTTTCATTTGTTGGCATTGTCTTCAGAGAAAGGGAGGGGAAGGGAGGTGGCAAATTATAGGGTTTTATCGGGAAAAAAATTTGAAAACTTCGAAAAAAATGGCATGATTATTTTAACTGAAATGTGCACTTGAAATGCACTTTTTCGATTTTTCCAGAAGTCTGAATTTCTGAATTTCTGAATTTCAGAAATTCAGAAAATCTATAATTCTGAGATTGGGAGTTTTGGAAATTCCGAATTTCAAAATTCCAAGATTTTTGATTTTCTAATTTCTTGGAAATGCTAGAACTTTTACATTCTAGGATTTTAGGATATTTTGGATTTTCCAGAGTTTTCTATTTTATTGGAATTCTAGAATATTGAAATTTTCGAGGATTTTATTTTTGGGTTTTCAGCATTTTTGGATTTTTCAGAATTTCGGGTTTTTTGAGAATTTCAAAATTTTTGTATTTTCTGAATTTCTGAAGTTCTGAATTTCTGAATCTCTGAATTTCTGAATTTCTGAATTTCTGAATTTCTGAATTTCTGAATTTCTGAATTTCTGAATCTCTGAATTTCTGAATTTCTGAATTTTTGAATTTATGAATTGCTGATGTTCTGAATTTCTGAGTTTCTGAATTTCTGAATTTCTGAATTTCTGAATTTTTGAATTTCTGAATTGCTGAATTTCTGAATTTCTGAGTTTCTGAATTTCTGAATTTCTGAATTTCTGAATTTTTGAATTTCTGAATTGCTGAATTTCTGAATTTCTGAATTTCTGAATTTTTGAATTTCTGATTTTCTGAATTTTTGAATTTCTGAATTTCTGAATTTCTGAATTTCTAAATTTCTGAATTTCTAAATTTCTGAATTTCTAAATTTTTGAATTTCTGAAGTTCTGAATTTCTGAATTTCTGAATTTCTGAATTTCTGAATTTCTGAATTTCTGAATTTCTGAATCTCTGAATTTCTGAATTTCTGAATTTTTGAATTTCTGAATTGCTGATGTTCTGAATTTCTGAGTTTCTGAATTTCTGAATTTCTGAATTTCTGAATTTTTGAATTTCTGAATTGCTGAATTTCTGAATTTCTGAGTTTCTGAATTTCTGAATTTCTGAATTTCTGAATTTCTGAATCTCTGAATTTCTGAATTTCTGAATTTCTGAATTTCTGAATTTCTGAATTTTTGAATTTCTGAATTTCTGATTTTCTGAATTTCTGAATTTCTGAATTTTTGAATTTCTGAATTTCTGAATTTCTGAATTTCTGAATTTCTGAATTTCCGAATTTCTGAATTTCTGAAGTTCTGAATTTCTGAATTTCTGAATTTCTGAATTTCTGAATTTCTGAATTTCTGAATTTCTGAATTTCTGAATTTCTGAATTTCTGAATTTCTGAATTTCTGAATTTCTGAATTTCTGAATTTCTGAATTTCTGAATTTCTTTTGAAAATATTAGAATTTTTCGAAATTTCAAAAATTTCGAAATTCAAATTTTCCCAAATTTTCAACGTTTTCGAAAAGGGAATGAAGGATGAAAGAATTTCAGAGAAGAATGAAAATTTTCATCCAAATCCAGGAAATCCAGAAAATCCAAAACGAAAATTGAAATTGAAATTTAATCCAAACCCTCAAAATGAAGGGTAAATGGAAAATGGAAAATTGAAAAGATAAATAGAAATATGAAATCCTTCCCCTCCTCTTCTTCTCCAAACACTCAAAATCAATAGAAAAAGAGCACAGCGTCATTTTTTTTGGACCCTTCTCCTTCCTCTTTTCCCTTCTTTTTGCCCCAAAAACCGAACGACAAGTCAACAATTTCCTCTTCTTTTTTCCTTCGTTTTTTGTTGTTTCTCTGCGTCTCTCACTTCTACCTACTCTCTCAAGCTTTGCTCTTACTCTTTAAAAGTTTTTTCTGGGGTCCCTAGAGCCTAGAGATCAAGAGACGCAGAGAGAGAGAACGTCAGAGCAATGAAGAAAGTGAGCACTGCGCCTTTGAACTTTGAGGACCTACAAAAGGGGCCCAAAACTTTTCTACTTGTCTAAAAAGTCCAGGTTACACTGAAAAAGAATAGAGCTTCATTTTCGTAAGTGACAAGTTTTTGGCTAGATTTCATTTGCCATTGTGTCCTTTAAATTTTTAAAGGCACATATCTCACTTAGAAAGTTTTTAACAAAAAAGTTGTCAATTACAAAAATGAAGCTCTAATTTTGTTAGCCAAAACTGCAATAACGCCAAATTTCTAGCTATTTCGATTGCCGAGATACGGCGCTTTGAAGTTGACGAGCTAGAGAGTATGGAAAAGGAGGAGAGCGCAGTCGACAAGACACTCTAACTGACTGCGTCTCTCGAAATTTTTAAATCGCTGTATCTCGGCTTCTAGATGAGCTAGAAACTTCAATTTTTTACCGAAATGCAGGGAATTGAATAGAGATTGTAATTTTTCTCAAAAAATCAAAATTCAATTCTTTAGAAGATGTGCCAACTAACAAGGCTCAACTACCAAGACTAGCGGATTCCCGTTTGCTTATCACTAATTTCTGTTTGTTCCCTTGAGTTGTTCCACTGACTGACACCGATCTTGCTAGTACAATGTTTACCAACCAACATCATTATATAGTCTATAGCGAAACTACTGATAAGGAGCACCGTGCGTTTCATGTGCAGTGAAAAGAGTCCAGGCGACCCCAATTTTTTTGTTCAATGTTAGTGGCTGAAACAAGCGTCAAAAAATCTACACAAAGTTCATAAATCAACATGCTAGTTGCTCTAGAAGTCGAGATACAGCGATTTGAAGTCTGGAGATGAGAGACGCAGAGGGTCTCGTTGTCTGCGTCTCCCCAATTGCTGTATCTCGGCTCACAAAAGAGCTAGAGAATCGGTTTTTGTTTCATTTTGTAGTAAAATAAATTTTAAAATTTTCTAAACAGAAATCAAGTTTCTAGGTATTCTAGAAGCCGAGATACAACGATTCATAGATTGGGGCGAGAGACGCAGAGAGTTTCGTTGTCTGCGTCTCACTAATCGCTGTAGCTCAGCTCACGAAAGGCCTAGAAACCTGGTTTCTATGGCATTTTGTACGAAATTGAATTTTATAATTTTCTAATCAAAAAGTCTACTTCTAGCTAGTCTAGAAAGCGAGATACAGAGATTCGAATTTTGGAGGTGAGAGACGCAGTGTGTCTCGTTGCGTGGGTCTCTTCACAGCGCTGTATCTCCTCGTCCCTTAGAGAAGCTAGAACACTAATTTTCGTGATTTTTGATCTTCCGACCTATTCCCTGGCAATCTTTAATGTTCATTCTGTAATCTTATCTGTGTACAATCTTTATTGGTTATTATCGTTATTAGTTCATTGACTGTTTATTTGTGTCTTGTAGTTAAGCAATTGCAAAAACATTATTAATAAATTTATACCCAAAAATACAAATATAAAAATATACAAAAAGGGATCATATCTCATTTTTTGGGGATTTTTGAAATTTGAAGTTGATTTTTGGGGTCGAAAAATGGGTATTATGAGATTGGGGATGTTCTGAAAGTGAGGTTGAAAAGCATATAATGGTTTTAAAAAAATTGGAAAGTCGGAAATGGAAAAAAAAGGATTAATACGGAAAATGGACAAGTTTTATGG